AAAAAATTTGTGTTTAATAGCTATTTTTACCTCTATTTTTAATCTTTATATGACTTCGACTTGTTTCATTATATGAGATAACCGTTTTAGAGAAAAAATAGCATATACTAAATATTTGCTGAATGCTACATGAGGCAATAAGCGGGCTGTTTATTTGTTCACTCTTGGGTGATGCTGGGGATGAGCCCCAGGCCTGGCACGCGAGGCAAGAGCTGCCACCGAGCTGGTTCCGGCCTGAGCAGGCACTTCCGATAGTGCATTCCACCAGGTCAAACAGAACAGCTGGCTGGCAGGAAGCGGTCGGAAGCCATCTGTCACGCGGGCCCGTCACGACCGCCAGTGCCTCTGACGCCCTTCTGGGTGTGAGCGCCAGCCCTTCTGCCCTCTCTCTTTACACCCCAGCGGTGTTCACTGAAACCTCTGTTTAGGAAATTGGAAGGTTTTGCAAATCTCTTTTGACTTCTGCTGTAATTTCAGATGAAACTCACTACACCTATTTCTGGCTTGCACTATCCTGTATTTATTCCACACTATCCAGTAATGAAAGATCTAGAAGCAGTGCAGAAAAACACGCCAAGAGAGCGTTTGCAGAGTACCACAGGCTCCCCTCACCAGGCCCGGGGAAGCTCTGGGTCTGGTTTTGCACAGTTTCATGTGAAATCCGTCAGAGCCCAGCAGGGCTGGAATCCTGTCTGGAAATCATCGTCCGCACAGGCAGGTGGTCCTGGGTCCTGAGGCTTGTTTTTCCTTACTCACGGAACTTTAACATAATGAAAATGCTTCTCTTAACTCATGCTTACATTTATTAAAGTTAAAAGCAGCATTCTTATAAATCAGAGTGACAAGCACTCTTATTGTTTCAAAAATTTCCAGGTACATTGCCTACCTGGCAAGCGCAATGCCCTGAGTCCAACTCCTAGTACAAAAAAAAAAAAAAAAAAAAAACCTCCAAGAAAGTCACCAGGTAAGGCTGCTTCTGGGATTGTTCACACATCTGTCTCGAAAGCTCTGACAGGGCCCGTCACATGTGGAATGGTTGAAAAAGATGTGGTACTTTTATATAATGGAGTACTACTCAGCTATAAA